ATACCTTTTTTACACCTTTACCTTATTATTAACGTTAAATATATGCGTATATATAGCTTTGCCAACAACACAAAAAAAAAAAAATACCGCCTACATACCAGTGCCCAGTGGAAGGTCGTCGTCCTGGCGGATTGGCTTGGACATTTGACGCACTGAATCAGGAGCGTGATTAATGGTCTTTAATTATGTCAAATGGGCACACAAAAAATAGTCGAGCAATATGTGCAACAATAACAAAAAAAAAATTAAAAAAAAATCAACAACAACAGCACATGCAGCGATTCAGTGTACAAATGAGAGTGAACAAAGTGAAAGGATTGTCCTGATCGAATGGCAAAAAAAAAAAAAATAAAAAAAAAAATACTATGCCCGTATGAAGGAAATCACATACTTGTAGTAGTACATATATTTTGGTTTTAGTTAAGTACAGTAAGCCAAAAAATGTAAATGGATATGTCATATAATCTGTACAATTGGTTGTCTTATATGAACACCGAGACAATAATATAGTGGGCAGGATAGCTGGGATACCACTAGCCGGCAAATGCTCTTCACATGAATCCGTCAAATATTTCTAGACCCAGATGGAGGTCTGTTTTATAGCGTCAAACATTTTTGCGAAATTCTTGAGACCTTTAATATCCTTTTGAAGCTCCATCATTTGAATCAAGAGGTTACAAGATATCTTAGCAAAGGCCAGCCAGCAGCAGAGGATGTGTTCCAATGTCTGACTCAAGCCTCCCTCTTTGCACAACCTACATCTACTAATGTTCCTTTCATTAAAGATCATTTATACCGACTTAGCATTTAATGTACTGGTAATGTACTGTACTGTGACAGCAAGAAGCATGACCATTTTGGCAATCTCATCAGCTGATTCGTTGGGGCCTGGCACGCAAGTATATGCAGCCGTCTACCCTGGGCTGCCCTGTCTATTGTGATCTTGGTTCTAAGGACATTTTCTGTAATTTTTATACATCTGGAAACAGAAAATTACCGACCAAAATTTTTGATAAAATTCGAGATCGGTTGCGGTGTGGCATAATCTAACTCTTGAGACTGCTGAGTTCTACTTCCTCTCTGACTTTACTTTCATGTGATCTCAATAAAGGCCTATGCTAACAAGGACGCCGATGCAATTCTTATGTACCAAGTGGAAGAATAGCTTACCTTACGAAGTAAATATTTGGAACCCTTTTTATATTTCAACTGAAGATAGAGAATGAGACACACGAACGGATCAACTTATAAAAAGCTTTCTCCTTTGATCATTTGTATTAAATTCTCTTCTGGAGTTCGGAAGTGCATTGAAACAGAATGAGAGAATTTAGAGGACAGGGGTCATAGTACATTCATTGAACTCCTTGGACTCTAGACCATATTTGAAGAAATTTCTTTAGCGAATAGAATAGTTTTTAACAATTGAATGTTTGAGATTTGATGGCAGCCTAGAGCCATTTGCTTGCTTGGTGTATATTTTTCTACCTTCATTTGGTTACTAATCTCCTTCCTCACTGCGTTTTTTTTGTCGTTAACCCAGCTCAGTGTCGTGTTGCGATTGGCATTAAAAAATTGACACCGTTAGGGTGAAAATGTCAACGTGACAGTTGGTCAAACGTAACAGCAGGTAAAACGGTATATGTAAAAGTGGAAATATTTGAAAAACCCTGTAGGAAAAAAATCTGCAGGAAAAAAAAACGAGAAATTTTTTAAAACCAAAAAAAAAATTATAAATAATTTTATTTAAAATTGGTCTCTCGACGGAAGGCAAGCAGAACTTCTAAATTCACCGTAAAGTCTTAAACACAACTTTTTATTATTTTTCCCGCACATTATTAATCGCTGTTCACATTATTCCACACGTTTTTCCTGCAGAGCTCGCCGACTCTTCGCCATTAAAAAATGTGCGCAAATAAATTTGCCAGCGTACACGATTCGAAAAACGTTTTGTAACGCGACACAGGGCAATTCAAATGAATGATCCTCACACTACTCATCGGCAAATACCGTTACGCTTGTCGTGCCGTTTCGTGTATGCAATTTTTTTCCCCCATTTACACATTTTTGATGTGTTGTGATTGTGTGGGCGTTTAAAAATTTTGTAGTAACACGTGTCAGCCTACCCCATCAACAGTGTCGTTTCGCCCGCCCGAGGACATGGTTTTGGTCGTTTTAAAATTTTTCCCTTTCGATTTTCCCCTTTTTATGACATTTGTCGCCAGTCGTCAGCCGCCACTGCTGCCACTGCCGTTGCTTGTCGTCAATCGTTGTAATGAAAGTGTCATAAATTATGCCACATTTGACGAAAGCGACATGCAATGTCCAGCCGTACCATGGGTTGGTAGATGGACTGAGCGCGGTTGGCCGTAGAGCGCACACCCACTGCGAATATTCACGGTATTTAGTGACCAGCCTATTTTTGTGAATGCTCCGAGGTTAACTTCACGTTGCAGGTGGGTGGAAGGAGCTCGATTTTTTTCTGTTGTTTCTGTTGTTACAAATTACCGTTGATTGTGTCGATTTGGCACATAAACGATCACTTTAGGCGGCGTTGATATGTTTGCATGTGGATATTTGCCAATTCGCTTTTAAATTATGCCATTAATTGAAATTGTACATAAATTACACACCGACCATTACCGTTAATTGCTTTTTTAAACAATCATAATCAACTTGTTTAAATAGCGGTAAATGTGGATATTTTGTATACGGAATTGAATGGAAAACTCTGCGTGGTAAGAAAAGTCTTAGTACTACAATTTTTTGGGAAGACAAAGTTTTCTTAATTTTTTTTCTGATTAAAAATGGAGTTTTTTGATATTCGCCGGAGGGACCTACAGTTTGTACTAAACCGCCCCTGATCGGCTGCTGGTTTTTTCTGAGAAGTGAAGTTTTTGATTTTCATTTCAGAAATACACAAATATACAAAATGCAGGGGTTGATATTCCCTGCCGTGGGGTAACCACATTTGGATGCTATTACGACACCAGGATTATGCGGATACTTGAACACTGATCAGAATCTACAAATCCACTTAAAAAGACGTTTTAGAGAAAATCATGCTTACGTAACATATGACTAGTTCCTCCGCCAGTCCGGTCTTATAGCAGACTTACCCTGTATTCAATCAACCAAGAACTGTCAACGCAACTGTATTCCGTAAAGAACTGTCGTAAATCTCTTTGTAACGTCATGTGAGGCTTTGACATGTTATTGCCGAACAAGCCAATATATCAGACTACAGCGCCAGCTGATTCTCATCTGGCAGAGCTATGTCAGCGGATTTGGACACCCTAAGCAACACAGATCGCTTTGCTTTGAGAAGAAAAGAATGCAGCTATACTCCAACAATATATAGATATGAATAGAACTGTTGAGTAATGTTTCGGGCTACCCCATCACTCCAGTGTTTTCAAAGCCCAAAAAGCAGACAAAAATATCAATAAAGATACAGAGAACGATAGCATTGAAGACTGTTCCAGAACTGTCTAGGAGGTGGCCAAACAGACTAGCACACCCTTGGTTTCTGATCAAATGAAAATAGAGGAAAGCTGTAAGGTAGGCAACTTTGCTTGGCAAATCACGATAAAGTAGATTATAGATGATGTTACGTCCCATAGTCGTTCTAAAAACGGCAAGTCTTTGCAGTAGGTGCGAATTCCAGCTCTCACACCGATTTCTCATTAGCCCCATTCCGAGAATTGCGAAGGAGGGTGTTAGTTGCCAGCAAATGATTGACCCTAGAATAACGGTAGCACAAATATGGAACCAATGGCTCTGAATCAGAGACACCGTAGATGTCAGCTGAAGCTTAGTTAGTCACTAGTGTCCTCATTTTCTAAGGGAGTAAGGAAAAAATGTGTGCGAACTAAGGGAACATAGTAGTCTGAGCCACTTAAAAAAGATCTAATTGTATTAGCATCCAATGAATTGGGTTTATACTAGGTTACTTAGTATCTGACAGATTATCGACCCTACTTTATAAACACTTATAAATGGTAGTTTTGGTAAACGCATGCCTAATCCGAGCTTGACTTCGATTGTGAATCGCTTTGTCACTTTCAGAATACAAATGGGTGCAGAGGAAGCTGGTCCTCTAGCTAACCAAACCATTTTTACATTACCGAACGTACTTATAGGCACCTAGAGACCTTATAGACACACCCTTCTATTTCAGGATTGCATCACGTTTTCTACATTCCATGCACATAAATATTTACTTGCATTCCAGCAACAAAGTGCGCTAAAGTTGAATCATCTTTAAAATATATTGAGTTCCTTGAGCCTATCGTCATCATTATCAGCTTTGTACAATTGTCATAATTAATCGCAAATGGCAGACATCGTGACACCAGTGCCGCGAAGACCGAAAATAAAAGCAAACAAGCAAAACCCGAGAACTTTTTATAAAGTCATAAGAAAAGCAAATAATAGTAAAATGAATGCGGAACGCGGAAAGCCGCATCAAGCCGCCATTGCACAGAATTTCATAGATGATGAACAATGTCGTCGTCACGTGACGAGCGCGGAACGTGAAACCACCATAACTACAACGGGGCGAGCTTTACAAACGTAGTGCGACGACAGCAGCTGTTTTGCATACTAAAGCGCGACAATGACGTTGACAAGGCAGGGCAACCGCAGCGCTGTAGTTGTATCGCCCAGCCCACAAACCCTCCCGACCATGGAGGTGCGGAAGGCGTGCAACCAGCCCACTTTGATGAGTCTACTTACACAATTACGTACAAGCAAATGCCACTGCACTGAGATCCGTCAACTATTTAACGACTGTGCGAGCGAATGTGACAAAGATTATCTGCGAGATGGAAGTGTTGTTGACTTCAGTTAGCTGCTTTGAAGTTGCTTTAAAATTTATATTGTCTAGTCGAATGTGTCACTTTATTGCAAATAAAATTTATGAACTGCTGCATTTTGTACTAAATTCAAATTTATTAACTTTGCGTAAATTTCAACATTTTTGTTTTTACTCAACTCCTACCACAGCCTCCCTCAACTCAACCCAAACTAAACATTTTTAAATTGTTGAATCCTTTCGATTTGTCGATCGTCCCGTAAAGCTTGCCATCAAACAATTGCTGCCCATTGGACATTGTGAGCTTGATCTCTGCTAAAAAGCTCGCTTCGGGCACATAGCTCGGCAGCATCTCCTCATCGATGTGATATTCACGTAACGTGTAAGAACCCTTCGTGATGGGACAACGTTTGATGAAATTATCCTGTTTTAGTATGTCTTCGTAAATGATACGCAACAGGGGATCCATTGAATGCTGTTTGAGGAATTTACAGAAATTCACCGAACGATTTACAACTGTTGTATAATTGGCCTGTTCCATCTCCAAAGAGATGGCATACTTGAGATACACATCATCGAGTTCTTCATTCAGTTGAAACACCACAGCGAGGCAGGTGTCGTCAGTATTGTTTTTTATCTGTATCTTGACGTCAACTAGATCGGTATTATACTGGTAGGGGAAGGAAGTAAAGATGACATTGAAAGAGCGCTGTAAGTGTGGAAAGGAATGAGAGATATCACATTTGTGGATTAAGCTGATTATTTTGGAATTATATGTAAATAAACTTAAGAATAGAGAGTTTTTGAGGTTAAGAGATATTTTTGGAAATATTTTAATGAACACAAAGAGGAACTCAGAGCGAAATGGATAACATGGAGCTACTTTCTATTTTGCTTTACATACTGACTGCTTAAGCTCTTCTGGTCTTTATGGCATAATCTTTTCAACGTTCGTCATCTTAGTTGGACTGAGTTGAGAGTCAGATTTAAAATCTGCTGTGAGGGAATACGAGGAGGCTCTAACCTCTAAGCGAATCGACTCAACTCTATTTTCAACGAGTATTTGACATAATACTGAATTTTCTTCAAAAACCGAGTCGAAGAAAAGTTTCTGTAGACTAGGACGTGTCGATTCCTGGCAAAAATTCATAAAAGGCATTGAAATAAGTGTTGGAAAGTTCGAGAGAAGAATACCTCTCAATACGAGCGAGAGTTTGATGAACGACTTTCGTATTCGGGTGCATGACTACCTAACTAAGTGAGATATTGGTTTACGAGTCTCAATGGGGAATTAGTCAGTATGAGCTTCCTATCGAGATGAAACCGAAAGCAAAATTAGAAATCAAATTAATGTGACAATGGGACTGATTGTAAGGCGTTAAATAAAGTATGCGAGAAAAGCAAATTCGTCCAAAAAGGTAATTTCTGCATGAAAAAATTACCGAATCTCTTTCAAGAACCACCGCATTCAGCTGTGAAAGCAGTGGATTCTTTTCTCGCTCCAACCTCAAGTTACCACTTGTGAAAGAGCTGGGTATTCACAAATAAAATAATGGGTAATTGTTCCTCTATTCCAGTCTTCTTTGCTGCTGCTACAATGGCTGTTAAGGCTGTAAGCAGATCCATTTTGATAGCTCTTCCCAGTAGGTGAAGCTCGTACGTAACGGCCATGGAAATAATTTCGCTCCATATTCATGAAGAGTTGCTCGTGACTTCGTCAGATTATCCGATTTTTCTTTAATATGTTCTTAAGGCCGGGTACCCATATCGAGAAGATGACGAGTTGATTTACCAGGGACCATACAGCCTTCCTACAATTGTAAAGGGTACATGAATTCATTGATATAAAACTATCAAGGTTGATTATTCGTTGATATTCGGGTAAGTAGTTCCCTCTTTATGTTCCGCTTGCTGTTCATTAGAGCTCTGCAGACTTTTTCTTCTGCTCCAGTTTTGATCTATCTATTCTAGAGAGTATCCTCAGCTTGAAGCAGCTTCTGAAATCTAGTCTTAGAACTTGGACACTCAGCGCCTTTTTCTTCAGTTAATCAAGTTTTGCCCGCTGTTATTACTTATCTTATTTTCTATCTACCTTCAGGGCCTCATCTACTTGCATATATATATATTTTCCAGCGCTTAATGAGCTAAACTTTCACAAGCAAACGCAGCATGAATGTAAATTTTATTAGTATTTTTTTTATCAATTTTCTCCAAAAGTAAATTAATTAGAAACTTTATGTCAATTAAAATGTTTTACCATAATTAAATTCAGACAACGAGCAAATTAATAATTGCCAAAAAGATGAGATGGAGCAAAAAAAAAAAAACTAAAACAAAATTAAATTTATGTATATTTCGAGTTAAAATTTTGGTTCAAACTTACCCAACCCCAGGCGATTGGTGCGCTCGCAACTAAAACAAATACAACAATTTTTGAAATGCTGCATGAAAAAAGCGCGCTGTTCAAGGCTTGCAACTTCATAACTAAACAGAATTTAACTAATGGAAATTTTTGCGGAAAACTATAATTTTTACACGCGGCCACAGGGCAAACAGCTATGTGACTGTGGCAAATGCATGAAAATTTAGCAAAAGAAAAAAAATACTAAATTAAAAATAAAAAAATTTTGAAACTTTATTTATGGAAGTTTCATTGAAAATGTTTGCGTATTAAAAAAAAATTATTGAGTATTGATTTATTTATAATTTGTTTGAAATTATTATTTTGTGTATGACAATTTTAATTGTTTTCCAGAGTAAATAATTTTTTGCTATTGTAAATAACGTTGTTGGAAGTTAGGCCGCTTTGAAAAAATTAAAATCAAATAATGAATAAAATCAAATAGAAATCAACGCAAAAGCAGTCGGAAAATAATATTTTGCATTGCAATTTTCAGGCTTCACTGGAGCAGTAAATCAAAAAAAAAAAACAATCAAAAATCATTCAAAACGCCATTTGATTGGAAAATAACTACGCAACTGCGAAGTCATACATATGGTATGTATATATGTAAGCCTGCTTGCACAAAAAAAGTTGTGTTCTGTGAAAATTACTTTGATTTGGGCGCTACGCTTCAATGCTAGCGATGGGAGTTTAGCGATAAGGATTTTTTTTCTGCGCAATTTGAAAACTTTTAACGAAATTAAATGTAATTTTAATTTTAGGAAACTTGATGGTACCACTATAATGGCTAAAGAAAGCTATAAAACAGCGTGTGACAGGCACTTTGTAGTCAATGAGGCTCTGTAAAGCTTCGTCAGCACTTATTTCTGATATCGTTCTTTTTGTGATAAAGTAAACCTCGAGGCACTAGAAAATGGTCGCCAAACTTTTTTGGTTGAATTTGACTATTCTGCTGTGTTGTGGCTTGTCAGCTGCGGAGGTAAGTTTTCTTCTTTTTTTCGATTTTGTTAATATAAAATTTTCTTGCTTAATTTACTATTGTCTTCCTCAGAAAGTGATGCGCCCCACCTTTAAGGATGTCAAAGTGTGGAGTGACGAGAAGCATGTTACGCATAAGCTTGCCTTTGATCCAAAGGATCCACATCTAAATTTTACGCTGCATGTGCTGAAGGTACGTGATGAAAATTTTCAGTTTTGAATCAAAATATTTTTTAACAATTTCACCTCATTATTCTCAAACGTTTTAAGTGCATATTTTTATACGATTCTTTCCCAATTTCCAGGACCTCAATGACGTTGACATACACACCGAGATACGCATTGTGCAGAAGAAGGATCCCACATACTCATTTTATACAAATTCTACGATGAATTTATGTCGCATTTTTGATTGGCGTAATATATCGCCAATTGGTTTACTTATAAATAACTTTATGAAAGAGTATGGCAATTTGATCGAAAAGTGCCCAATCGTGAAGGTAAGCTGGAGTGCAAGATTACGATTTTTACTAAACGCTTAGGTCAGATGCGCGTTGTATGGCGTGAGGCAGTCTAGAATATTCTCTGCGTTCCCTACAAAATATTTTACTTTATATTCCAAAATTTAATTTACAAATTTTCCGTTAACAAGCTTTCAATAAGAAGCATTTCTTCAGTTGAGTCCTTTCTTTTTTTGATACTGTTTTCAGTCCAAGAAGGTTTCAAAAAAGGGATCACAATTAAGAAAATTAATTTTATTTTATTAAAGTGCAAAAAATTATATAGAAGTTAAAAAATAAAATAAATTAAAACAAACTTAAGTAAAATAAAATAAAATAAATATATATATATATAGTAAAATAAAATGAACGATATAAAATGAAATAAAATAACAAAAGTAAAATAGTGTAAAAGATAATGAAATAAACTAAAATAGAATAAAAAAAAAACGAAATATAATAAAAAAATGAAGTAAAATGATTTAAAAAAATGACTTAAATAGAAAAAAAATAATATCAAAAAAATAAAATGGCATAAAATTATAAAAAAAAGAATAAAAAAATAGAAAACTTAAAATAAAAAAAATTATATTACACAAGATGAAATATAATAAAATAAGAGAGGTAAAATAATTTGAAATCTGTAGAAAATTGCACTTTCGCTTAAAATAATATTTTAAGCTCCAAACAAGATAACTTTCTAATCTCTCTTTTAGGCACGTTACTCTCTATCCTTACGCAAACATACTAAACATACACATACATTTCAGGGCGAATATTTCGTGCATAGATTCTGGTATCCCGAAGATGTGACAGTCGCTACATTACCCGAAGTCGATTTCGAAATTAATTTCTCCGCCTACCATGTGGATGCAGGTAAAAATCGTGTGTTGATCATTAATGATCACATAACCGGTGAGGGCGTAGTGCAGGATGTGAACAACGTAAAACCGGGCCTACTGGCACTATTGCCGAAAGCGGGTTAAGTGTGGCGCGAAAGGCAGCAAATGATAAATTTAGCTACATATATTTATAAATATATTTAGCATATTTAAAGACGTAAAAAACACAGGTGAAGGCCATAAAAGTGAAGAAGCAAGAATTTTATGAACGCAAATGGCAAATAATAAATTTTCGTAGCACTTGTTTAATTGCTATTGTAATTTGGTGTTTAGCAGTAAAATGTAAAAATGAAAAAATTCGGTGAAAAATACAATAATTAAAGTAGCGCATAAAAATATTTAAATAAAAAATAAAAAAAAATATCGTGCTGTTTTGTATTCTTCATATAGAAATTTCATATGCAATTATTATTCAAGGGAATTTTAATGAATTTTTTTAACATACCTGCATATGTATGCACATACATACTTTGCCAATATATTTATAATTTTATAAGCTAAAATGTTGACTGAATTTTAACACTCAGGGTGTGGGTTATGATGTGTTTGAGTACAAGCAAAAGTGACAAAAAAAAAAATGAGGAACATCAGCGAAAATTAATAAAATTCAATCTGCATAAATTCGGCAACCAACCCGGATCACCTTCTATGACTGCTTAATTGTGGCAAAGCAAAAAAGAAATCTCCATCAATATTATTGGCAGTTGATATTGACAGTAGCGCGACGAATCCTTCAACCGGGCGTTATCATAAATCAAGCAAACGAATTTCGGCGAAAATTTGCTTAAGAAGTTGGATTGACAATCAACGCATAGTGATTGACAATTGAGGCATGAAGAAAGGCAACTACAAATACTCTAGAGGGGCTGATCATATTAGAAATTCGCCAGCTGTCTATTGTGAGGCGGATAAATGCATGTTAATTTCAACAGCTGGTGAAAAAATCGCAAACTGTAATCTATTCATAGCAAAAAACGGTTAATCAACTCTCAGCGCACGAAAGAAATCGAGTGAAATCGTAGTAAGATGATTTTCTAATAATAAATAAGTAGGAGTAGTAAAAAAGTGCAAAAAATTGCAAAAATTTGATTTTAATGACGTTGATTGATGCAGTTGTCATAAAATGACAGCTTCAAAAGCTCTCCTATGACAGCAGTCACACTTCCGGTGACAGATGATTGCTCTCAGAAAAAGTGTATCCAATAAACTAGTCAGTGACAAGAAAAGAATTTGGTAGTCAAATTTAGTTTTATTTCTCGTTTTGCTTACTATTGTATTTTTAACTTGAAATAAATATAGCTATGATATTTTGATTGTAATTTATCCCTTGAGATGCTAAAACCACGGGAAATTCTGATTTACTATTCCTTTAACCAATTTCCATGCATTATTTCTCATTACCACCAAATATTACCAGAATTGGTATGCCGTTCTTGCTAACCATAAAAATTTTAAAACTTCTATGTCATGATGTGTTGGTTACTTATATTTTTTGAAGTATTCTGTGTACGAAAAATGTGGATTTAAAACAATACTTTCAAATTAGTTTCTGCATTCAAAGCTGGCCTCAATCTGAGATCGCATAAAAAAATTACGAAATTATATAAAATAAAGAAAGGAAAACAATTTTGCGTGGCTCCGAAGTCATAAAATAGTTTATGACATTTTAAAAAGAAGAATAATAATGATAATTTGAAGAATCGTATATTAATCGTAATTTTTGTTTTTCGATATGACACCATACGCATTCCTTTACATGCTCCCTTGCATACACCGAGCTATCATCCAAAAAGAAATTTTGTCGGATCCACTAAGTTCACCCACTTAATCTTGGAATAATCTTTTATGTCTATCTGCTCTGGCTAGATCTATTCATTGCTCTTGTGCGCCATCAAGAGACCGGAACCTATTTTCGGTAACAAAGTTGGCCCAATGGTGTCTTACAGATGCCTCTAATAACCGAAAGTTAGTTTAGTTGAGTTCTGTATGGGGCATACATACATGTATTGAAACAGCTTACAAGAGTAGGCTGCTTTCTACTCTGCAAAGGTCTTTTTTTAGAAGATCCGCCAATTTTTGGTAAAAAGCAGCGTTGATATCTTAAATGAGTATCGGTTGTTTTGCTCTCCCAAGCTAAATCTAGACTTAAAACTAGTCCGCTTTTCAATCATGACACCACCATAATTTAAAGCAGGTTTAAATATGAGAATCTCTGAATTCAGTCTACGTCTAGTTTTCATTAGAACAACTTTTCCTTTAAGATCGAGTTGCTCCTAATAAGCCAGTCCATTCTCTTTTTTCAAGTAAAGCTGCTTAAGATGGCTCTGAAATCTTTTTCTTCTTCTTTATTGGCGACGGCATCGTTTACACGATCATAGTCGAATCAATCGAATAGCGCATCATTCGTTGCTTCTATTTGCTGTTTGACGCCAGTTGTAAAACCCAATTGGACGAGGTGACCTAGCTGACCAACATAGCTGCTGTTCCCTTAGTCACTGAGCTCTTATACATATATCAATGTGGCAGTATCACTCTTATAACTAATTGTTCTAAGTTCGCTAGATACGCCGTTGCCGGAGGATCCCAAGGCCAGTTTGGGTCGTCCAGAGAGGATTTTATTTTCAGGAACTTCAGGTTGATATTGTTGTTTATTGTCGCTTCATAGCTCCTCCATTCCAGGAACTGCTCAAAAACCGAAGATACCTCACTTTTAAATAGATTTAATCGGCATTCGGCACAACAATGAATCACTCGGGTTATGTATGGCATAGCAGCCAGCCAATGTAGACTATACTAATCTAAGCTTACCTAAATTTCCTAATATCCTTCTTCTACTCTCTTTTTATCCATATTCATATGGGAAATATTAAATTTATAATTAATTGAGTCAAAACATGATTGCTTTACCTCCGAACATGGACAGAGGTAATACAACAGAGACACCAGCAGATACGAGTATGAATAACATAATCAGCTTGTCGCAGAAAAGGATTTCAAACTCATTTTAGACAAACATCTGTGCTACAAATGCCAATATACACCTAGAGAGAGAGAGAGGGTAAAGAGTGAGGGTAAAGAGTAAAAGCTGAGGAGTGTATGCATTTGGGGAGCATAGAAAATATTTTAATCCCTAATTGAAAATAAACATAACATGCGACAAAATTCAAAGAAAACATGAAAATGAAAACAAGTATGCATGTACATATGTATGTATGTATGAACCAGTAAAGTAGTTAGGTAGTTGAGTCGTAGCAATGACAGTAGGAACAGAGGTACACGAAATTACTACACGAAAATGCATTGTAAGGATATGTGGCATAGGGGAAAAATGTGCGAGAGACGATGAGCGGAGGGAGTTAATCTAAGTATGTATTGGTTGTATTAAGAGAATTATTGCGGTGCAAGAGATGGGTGGAGAGTTATTAAGTTAGAGTGTGAGGGAAGCGAGTGAATACTGCACAAATAGGTAGCCGTGAGAGGCTAGTGAGTGCAAGAGGTAAATTATGGCTTTAACTGCATAACAGTTATTCAAGTGAGTGTTATTGGAGTGAGTGTAATGCTTGTAAATTGAGTTGTATGGAGAGATTTTTGTGCATAATAAAGGATTAGATTTATTTTGTAAATATTTTTATTTTTTTATTTTTATTTTTATTTTTATTATTATTTTACATGCACGCTGTCTAAGGGTATTTTGTATTTTAAAATATAATCAAGATATATCAGTTTAGTAAAAGCAATTCGTCTGCCTTAATAAACTTATTTAATTCACTGAACAGTTAACAAGTAACATGCAAGTCCTTGTGTGCAAGGATACAACGTTTAAATGCGATACATCTTTTGTTGTTCGAAGCAAGCAATAACGCAAATTCTTGCTTACGACCCTACGAGCCGTAGCGCTCAGTGATTTATGCGCAGCAGATAGGCTGATATGGCTATGGAGCGCATAGTGAATTTATTTTTACACCATGAAGGACAAACGCTTTTAAGTATTTTGAACTTTTATTCTAATTTCTAATTTTCATTTTTTATTTTATTATTATTTTTTGTATCCTATTCGCTTCTAGTAAGCCTAGCAAACAAGTAAACATTTGCAAATCTGCCGCATTTACTAACACTTTCTAGTTGCTGACCCCCCAAAGGACATGTTATCCTTGTGGCAATTCAAGTTTAGTAAAAGTAACAACAAAATAAAATAAATGTTAGTAAAAATGGTAAATATACAAAAAATCGTATGCAACAAATCCCTTGTATATGCAAATATACGTTTGTATGTAAGTGCTGCAGAATGTCCTGAACGCGGAAGTCAACAACCAAACACACTTGTCGTGCATTTCCTGCACCAATTGAAGCATGAAGAGGAGGGGGGGCGAGAGAGAGAGAGAGAGAGAAGAGTACCCACACTACATGCTTCGAATAGATAACTAACGAATGCCAAGTGCTTGCTGGTCAGACAAAATTCAAACAATTTGCATATGCTCTTTGGTGGCGCAGCAAAGGGAGGGAAGCTCGGATTAGAATGAGAAAACTAAAAATAGCAAAGAGAAATAGAAAAGCACGATTGAGGGTGATGGGTGCATAGAGACACTGGTGATGGCTCGAAAAAATGTCAACAACAGCTAGCAAGCAGGCAAGCAATGTTCTCAGTAACAATGCCAACAAACGCAGTGAGAACAACAATAACAACAACAAACACTTGAAAATCGAATGGACAGCTGAAACCAAATCCAATGTCAGCTTAAGAATTTGCACAAGTTATTCGATGTGTATTTAAGAGGACGCACAAAAGATGCAAAAAAAAGGAGTAGTAAATACAGAGACAAATGTCAGAAGTCAGTTTGTAGATATGTATGTTTGTGTAAAGGGCAATGTTGGTGTTAAATAAAGTTGTAAGACACGTCAAGATACTCACTGCCAATGGTATCTTATTGGACTGACTGGTCACACGCACCGTATTTAAAGTGTGCGACGGCTTTTGTATTGCTTACGTGCGGGCTTTCTCGCCTAAAAGCACACAACAGTTGTTGTTCTAGTTGACATATCGGAAGGAATATCCTAAGCTTGGCATACTAAAATTTACCAGTGAACTTAAAACAGTTTGAAGAGCTGGAAATGGTTAGAAAAACTTAAAATTTCAACAAAGAAGAAGAAAGAATTATCTACGATCGAAAAATCACATATGCACATATAGTCGTCCGATTTTAATACATTGTAATATCGATATTCGATTATGATGAGTATGCAGAATGCAAAATTTCATGTTCATAGACGTTTAAATGTAGGAATTATGGCACCAAATCACATATCTGAACAATCAGTTGTATGGGAGC